CATTATATAATTTAAATTAATAATATATATTAAAAAAATTCTTAATTTAACCTCTAAAATTCTGAAATTTCTTCTTAACTTATTCTTTTCGTTAAATACTCTATGATAGCACTAGGCCTAGAGGCCCAATGACACTTGTCATTTCAAAGTGCATTTCTCCCTCTCGACGGGTTTGAACCCATCCAAGTCCAAAAGTTCGAAAAAAAAAAATTACTCTATGATAAAAAACGGTTCGCTCCGATGTAATCGTACTGAACTTGGAGAGAGGGCTGCTCACCTTCTATATATTACATGTTGAGACCCAAAACTCTTTTTTTATCTTTAATTAATTTATAAATAATTGTCATATGTTAAAAAATTAAAAAAAAAACTCACTGATAAGGCTCGAAAAGAATGACACGTCAAAACATTTTTCTCGTAGAATCGACAGCATTAATAAATGAATGACATGAAAAAAAACCTAAAGTATTACAACAAATATAATTATTTTATTCACTTAAAATTATAATTTTATCCTCATCTTCTTGCTCCATCTTCTCTCCACCCTCCCCTTTCTCTCTCCTTGTTCTCTGCAAGTCTCAGTCGGCCAACAAGATCAAAGCCAAATTGAGCACTAAGATTAAAATTGCAAGATATTTCAACAAATTAAAATTTCATACAAAATTTCTCCAAATAATCAGTAAAAATCATTTAATAAAAACAAAAACTACTTATCACCCCAATTTCCAGATCTGGGTTTGGTGAACCCAATAACACTAAACAAGAAAACCCAAAGGAGACTCTTGGTTCCACACAATAAGAAAACAAAAAAATACTTGTAAAAGGCAATGAAATCAAGGTTTCAACTTGAATCATCCTTTGAAGAAACTGAGTCGTGTTAGGATCGGAATAGTAATGGAAATCGGAGAGCAAAACGTCTTTACATTGAGTCAAGATCCCAGTCCCCAATTGTATATAAACCACCACAATCACAAAATAATCAAACGAAAACCAATTTAAAAAACTGAAAAAATTCAAAAATTTAAAACTTTTGAAGTCAAATAGAGGATGAAACCATGAACTTGGAGTTGGAGATATCATTAGGAGGACCATGATAGCTTCAACACCGGT